AGAAAACTGCTCACGGATCCCTGGGTGGCGCAGCGGTTTGGCGCCTGCCTTTGGCCCAGGGCGCGATCCTGGAGACCCAGGATCAAATCCCACATCGGGCTCCCGGTGCATGGAGCCTGTTTCTCCCTCTGCCTGTGCCTCTGCCTCTCTGTGTGTGTGTGTGTGTGACTATCATAAATAAATTAAAAAAAAAAAAAAGAAAACTGCTCAGGTCTTCTGCCCATTTTTTAATTTGATTACTTGGCTTTTTGGTGTTGAATAAGTTCTTTATATATTTTGGATACTAACCCCTTATGAGATATGTTATTTGCAAATATCTTCTCCCATTCAGTAGGTTGCCTTTTTGTTTTGTTGGTGACTTCCTTCACTATGCAGAAGCTTTTTATTTTGTGTAGTCCCAATTGTTGATATTTGCTTTGTTTCCCTTACCTAAGGAAACATATCTAGAAAAATGTTGTTAAGGCCATGGTCAAAGAAACTCTGTCTTTTTCTTTCAGTAGTTTTATGGCTTTATGTCTCACAATTAGGTCTTTAATCCATTTTGAGTTTACTTTTATCTGTGGTGTTAGAAAGTGGTCCAGTTTCATTCTTTTGCTTATAGCTGTTCAGTTTTCCCAGCACCATTTATCGAGACACTGCCTTTTTTCTGTTGTATATTCTTCCCTCTTTAGTCATAGATTAATTAACCACAAAAGTATGGATTTATTTCTGGGCTCTCTGTTCTCTTGATCTGTGTGTCTATTTTTGTGCCAATACTGTACTGTTTGGATTACTACACATTTGTAGTATTTCTTGAAATCTAGGATTGTGATACCTCCTGCTTTGTTCTTCTTTCTCAAGATTGCTTTGGCAATTCAAGGTCCTTTGTGGTTCTATACACACTTTAGGATTATTTGTTTTAGTTCTGTGGCAAATGCTATTGGTATTTTGATAGGGATTACACTGAATCTATAGATTTCTTTGGGTAGTATGGACATTTTAACAATATTAACTCTCCTGGTCCATGAGCATGGAATATCTTTCAATTTGTGTTGTCTTCAACTTCTTTCATCAATACTTTATACTTTTCAAAGATTAGATCTTTTACTTCCTTGGTTAATTTCTAGATATTTTATTCTTTTTGGTGAAGTTGTAAATGAGATTGTTTTCTTAATTTCTCTTTCTCTTACTTTCTTTCTGTCTCTTTAAATTTATTCAGTGGAGCTAGTTTTGTTTTTTTGTTTTTTTTCTGTTCCTAAATGAAAACACAGTTCCCAAGACTGCTCTGGTTAGTTTTAAGTAATAATTATGCTGTCACTTTAAGTTATAAGAGATACTTTCCATTCAGTAATTAAAATGTTCAGCCCAATATGATAGACTTCAGATTTGACTGCCAGTTGAAACTTTTCCTTCCCCGGGTTTGGCCAAGAACACATGGGAAGGGGACTGCAATCCTCTCCTCCTCCACTTCCTCCTCCTCCTCACCTTTTCCTCTCACAGTCTACTAAAATAGGCTTCTGACTCTCAGGTTGGCACAGCAAAAGTGAAGAGGAATAAGAGGGAATAGGAGCACTTTTATTTGTCTGATACTAGTACCAGTTTGCTGGGTGTGGGAGATGTTCCAGCCAGCTTTCTCCCATGGACACATTTTGGGTTCTTTGGAGACTCCCCATCGCTCTGGCTCTCTCAGCTCCAGTGTTCTTCATGTGGTCAAATGCATCTCTTCTCTGGCTGGTCATTTGCTAAGTTCCCTGGACCTGGGACATTAAGCAGCCACTTCTATCCTCTTTCTGCTAAGGGCCCCACAGTTTTCCATGTAGCTTTCTTGAACATTAAGGACACTAGCCTCCACTTCTCAGGGCTCAGACCTTAACCACCCATGGGGTCATCTAAGCCCTCTGAGTTTTCTAGGAAACACTTCTCAAGTGACTCAGGAGTGGTAACCCTCACCCTCTCTCCCTTGGGAACAGGAATGGATTCACATGAAAATTCTCTCTCTCAAAAAATAAAAACAAAACAAATGAAAAGCTTTTTAGAACTGTTCTTTGACATGATTCAGTGTACCTATCAATACCTGTACAGAGTCAACTTTACTGTATCCAAATAAAAAATGAAATCAACCAAGGTATCAAGAATGCAGACTTGACACATGAATTTAACTTAATACAAATGTGTGACATAACCTCACTGGAGGGGGATGAGAGAAAAGGAGCTGACCTAAGTAACTTTGGAAAACAGCTTTGTGACTAAATACTGTGAATGAAAAACAAAAATAACTGTACATAAGCACCATGCTCTAGTTGGTAATTTTGTTTCTCACAGGGATACTAATTAGCATTCTGACAGTACTTAGCAGGGTTGATTATAAGGGGACTTAGGATCAGTGACACCTCAGTTGCAATGAGCATACCTAGTACCCAGATATTGGTTTCTAAATACCATTTTCTGAGAATTCCTTGGAGAAATGACTGATTTTTAGGGCTTGGATAAGGAAAATACAAGATAAACATGGCATAATCTTGCAGAACCAAAAAGTGAGGATGTGCCCACAGAAACAAAAAAAGGTGGGGCATGTCAAATTACCCAGGGACCAACCTGAAAGACCTCCTAGTGTCCAAAGCTGGAACGATTGGAGCAATAGAATAAATAACAATCATTTAACCTAAATCATATAACCTAAAGAATAAAGTAAATATCCATGATTGGATAAATAAATGGGAGGAGGGCACAGCACAGAGGGATAAATCTTTACAGAAAGATTTACTACAAATAGTGTATGTAGATACTTGCCACTTAATTTCCATCCCCCTGAGAGTGAGCTGGGCTTAGTGACTCACTCCCCAAAAATACAGAAAGATAATGACAGTGGAGAAACCTGGTAGATATCAACCACCTTAACAAATGATCAAGTTTAACTTCACCAGTGATGTCATGTTGCTGTCATGTTCCCCAGTATTCTATGAAAAGACAACTTCATCTCTGTGGTGTTCTTCCCCAAACCCATAACTGCAATCTAATTATGAGAAAACATTAGAGACAATTTATCAAATACCAGACCATGAATCTTCAAAAGTGTCAAGGTCATGGGAAACAAAAACTAAGAAATTGTCATAGACCAAAGGCAACTAAGTGCAGCATGGCATCCTGGATTATATTCTAGAAGAGAAGTAAAAGGACATCTGTGAAAAGTGGTAAAATCCAAGTACAGTACCAATGCTAATTTCCTCATTTTCACAAAAGTACTTGGTTATGTTATATAAGATGTTAGGGAAGGTGAGTGAGATATACAAAGGAACTCTCCATAGCATCTTTGCAAGTTTTCAGTGGCTCAAAAATTACTTCAAAATTAGAATTTTTTTCTAAAATGTCCTAATCTCCAACTCCCAACCCTTTTATATTCTCAGTGTGGGTCAGGGGTTTGTGAATAATCTAACCAATTTTCTAACTTTTCTTTCTTTTTTTTTTTTTTTTTTTGGCAAGCCCAGCAAGGTAGGGTCCTACATCTCATTTTAGGGTATAATTTCTATTGTCTTTGAGCTTCAGATGCAAACTTCTGTTTACATTTCCTATTACATTCACATATGTTTTTAAAAGTCTCTAAAATGATATTATGCAGAGGGGCACCTGGCTGGCTCAGTAGGTAGAACATGGGACTCTTGATCTCAGGATTGTGAATTTGAGCCCCACGTTGGGCGTAGAGTTTACTTTAAAAAAAAAAAATTAGGGTCTTCTGGGTGGCTCAGTTGGTTAAGTGGCCAACTCTTGATTTTGGCTCAGGTCCTGATCTCAGGGTCCTGGGATCGAGCCCAGTCTTGGGCTCCATGCTTAGCAGGGAATCTGCTTCAGGATTCTCTCTCTCCACTCCCCCCACCCCTTTGCCCTGCTTATTCACACATGAGCACTCTCTCTGTCTAAATAAATCTTTAAAAAAGAGAGAAAGAATAGAATGATGTATTAGATATCAAAACAATGGCTGCCTGAGAAAAATGTATTTTTCTTCAAAGAGGAAAAACACTGCTATTTCCCATAGTTTATTTGTTCTATTGTACCTTTTGGGATTTGGGCCATGTGAATATATTACACTTTCAAATTGATTAATTAGGAAAAAGCTGCTTATTTGTATTACCCTTCTCTTGAATCACTATCCAGTGACTCAGGAACTATTTCTGTAATGTGACTTCCTGGGAAAGATTCTTCCCTATGTTCTATGTTGTATTCATTGAAAGTTCAGAAGCCATTTTTATTTCATGGACAATACAGTATTGTTTGCATTTGGGGTCTCCCATGTTTCATCTTCACACATTTCAAAAAGTGGTTGGTTTTTGCAGTTTGTCAGATAATTTGGCACTTCTTGAGCTGGGATTATTTGCACTGATGGGACCCACGGAAGGAAAAAAAGGCAGGACCCACAGAAGGAAAGAAAGAAAGTGTTTGTGGCCTCATTAAGAGTCATTAAGATGAACATCCCTGAGCATTTTTTATATTTCAGGAAGGGGCCCCAAAAGGTCAGCTTTTTCTTCTACCCAGGGCAGTTATCAATCACAGCTTTATTCATACATTCATCCCTCACAAGTACGCATTCTCTTTGGAGCAAGCCTCTCAAGCCTCATCCGTCTCCTTAGAGTAAAGCTGGTTGTTTCATCCACGCAGCTTGCAGCTTCCGATGGAGCCAGCCCTTTTGTCTAACAGCTCCTTAAAGACATGCTGCAGTGCTCGAGTTGGAGTTGGTAGTTTGCATCTGAGAAGGGCCAAGACAGGGGAGTCCCAAGTGTCACTCTCCAAGTGCAGATTTCTGCTTTCTCCAGGTCCCCATCAGCACTCCCACCCAGAGCATCAGCTGCTTCCTGGCACAGAGCACAGTTGCCCAGCTTTCCAGAGTGTACTTTGCAAACAGGATGCTAAACAACTTCTTATTTCTGCAGATCGAAGGTTTTCTTGGTTGTTGAGAACTTTAAATACAGATGGCTTTTTTTTTTTTTGAGTTAGCTTAATAAACATCTTTGCCTTCTGTTCTTTCGTAGCAAGTCTTTTCCTTTGTTTAACCGATGTGTCCCTCGGACCCCTGAGTGCTATTCCTCATTTGCGTCTGTTTTGATAAACGATGTCGACATCCTCCATCGAATCCTAAGTGGGATCATGTCCGGAAGGGACACAATCCTCGGCCTGTGTATCCTCGCCTTAGGTAATTTTCAATTAATTTTCTTGTAAATTTTCTTGCAGTGTCTGTGCCACAGTTTCTAGCGCTTACATATTTGTACAATGAAAATTAGCCTCTGACTTAAAGATAAAACTTCACGTATTTTCTTCATAAATATTTTCAATGTTTTTAGGCTCAGATGGGAGAGGGGACAATAGAATTAGGGAAACACCAGCTGGCGCTCTGCCAAGAGGCCTCACCGAGTGTGGGCTGCCTGAATATAGCAGCCGTGTTCAGAGCCTGGTCCTCAGTTCTGTGTAAGGATGGATGTGCAAAGCAGTTCGCAAGCTGGCCATGAAAAGTTCAACTGTCAGGGGAACCAGAAATGCACATCTTCTGGCCAGAATGCTCTGTCCCCACAGGCAAGCCAGATCAGAAGGCTGCTTGGTGAGCAAGGGAAGGAGGCATGTGCATCCGTGTTAAGTAACATCACACAGCAATGGCCTGATGCAGCCAACTGCCCGCATTGGGTTGTAGGCAGGTCAAGGCCTCAAGCTGGGACATGCCCTTCCTGGCATTTCTGGAAGCAGCTACCCCGACTCTTGACCCCTTAACTTCCTATTTGTTCTCTTTCAACGTGATGAGCCCCTTTAAGAGTCAACTTTGTCGGGATCCCTGGGTGGCTCAGCAGTTTAGCGCCTGCCTTTGGCCCAGGGTGTGATCCTGGAGTCTCAGGATCGAGTCCCACGTTAGGTTTCCTGCATGGAGCCTGCTTCTCCCTCTGCCTGTGTCTCTACCTCTCTCTGTGTGTCTCTCATGAATAAATAAATAAAATCTTAAAAAGAAAAAAAGAGTCAACTTTGTCTTTGAACAAGTTAGCACATTCTGCCAATGTGGGCTGTAGTAATGGCCTACCACCTACCCCTTCTCCAGTGGCTGCTCCCCAGCCTTTTGGTTGAAAAATTCTTTGGTCAGCCATGATTCTGTCAATTTACAGGCTGAATTTTCCACAATTTCATAATCAAAGGGTCACTACTTTCTGAATGCTTGGGGATGCCTAACTCTTCACCATTATGTAACTTCCCTGTTTCTTACGACCCAAATGTGCCAGCAGGCATCGTGCTTTCTCTTAACTCATTAAAATCTCATCAGAATTCTATCACCATTTGTAGGAGGGGGAAACAGGCTTACAGAGGTTAAGTGACTTGACTGAAGTCAGGCCATGACTAGAGGAGGTGGCATGGCTGAGACTTAAACCCAAATGTATTTTGCTCCTCAAATCCATGTTCTTAACCACAACACCAAACTATTCATATGTAATCCTGATTTGTTGTTTAGCAAAAAAGTAAAACCGTATATAAATTCACTGACATGCTTAACATAAATTAATAAGCTTAAAACCCCAAGAACTGGAAAGTAATGTGCAGATTTTTTACATATACAGCTTACCGAAAAATTAGAACCCTAAATTTTTCATTTCTAAAGGCATTGATTTTTCATATTTAGTAAAGATACATGAGCATGAGAACATTTAAAGTTAAAACTTTACATAAGCCCAATAAGAAGTCAAAAGAGTTAAGTATGGCAAAAAAAAAAATTTTTTAATGGTTCGTGTGGACTTAAAAAAAAAACATTAGGGGGGCCCTTGGGTGGGTGGCTTGGTCAGTTAAGCATCTGACTTAGGCTCAGGTCATGTTCTGGAATTGGGCTCCGTGCTTAGTAGGGAGTCTGCTTGTCCTTCTCCTTCTCCCTCTGTCCCTCCCCCTGCTCATGCTCTCCCTTTCTCCCTCTCTCAAATTAATTCATTAAAAAAATAATTTTGGATATTTGAAAATAAGACCTGATTAACGAAAGAAATTTTTTCTTTTTAATTCAAGAAGAATGCTAGGGCTTTAGATACTTGCTTACTGTAGCAGATTGAACTTGTATATGCCTCAGAGAGTGCCCTGGGTGTGTCTTGTTATTTTTGTTTAGTAGATGTTTAAGATATTTAGAAATTGAAGGAAATCCTTAGCACTCCCTCTTCTGGGCATCATGATAGTCCTGGCATCATCACCCTCACACCTGGATTGCTGTTGGAAATCACATATGTTTTGCTTAATTTTTCAGCCTTGTCTTTGGGCATAATGTTCACCTTCCGATTCATCACCACCCTTCTGGTTCAGATTTTCATTGCACTGATTATTTCTGGACTGTTGCGTAAGTATTTCCACTTGATTGATTTCCTTTTGATTAAATGAAAAGCCTTTCAACTAGGTATGGAACTTAAAAAGTTGGCATTTTTGAGCTAAATAAGTCTCAGAGAGTCTCTCATCCAACCCCATCAATTCACATATGGGAAAACTGAGTCAGAGAGGACAGACGGAGTTGCTTATGTCATGCACATAATAGGAAAGTTGATGCCAGTCTATTGCCACTGCTGCACTCTGCTGCTGCTGAGATGGGCCTGCCAGTCCAGCAATCCTAGTGGCCATGCCTTTAACAGACGACTCCAAGACTTGTTGGAAAGAATGCCTTCTTTTAAAAATGTCTTTTGAACTTTCATATCAGCCATGGATTCATGGGTCCCCACAGCTGTCATGCAATGGCTCCCACCCGTCTAAAAAGATTCAGGTCCTAAGCTGGGGCTTAGGTCCCAAAGACCCTCTCCTGTGCCCACTGGTTCCCCTTTTGTCACTGGAATGTGGGTGGGTCCATCCAGGGTTTGTCAGGAAAGGGGGCCTCATGGGGCACCCAGGAGGTTTGAAGGAGCAACAATTTACCAGCTGACATGGGATGCTTGAACTGATAATAATTGATATGACTGTAGGGTTTCTTTCCCCTGAATGATCAGCTCTGCCCTCAGCGACTTAGGGCCGTACAGCTCATAGTTCCACAGCGTGCCATGCTGGAGGACAGACACAGCAGCTATGACACTTTCCCACCTAGGCCAAGTTAAGACAAATGTGACCTCTGTAGTCACCATGGTGGTGGTGTAGGTGGCATGCGGTGCTTAAACGGAGGGCATTTGCAATGTCAGGGTATCCACCTAGTGTTGTGAGTGCCATGCTGATGTCCAGGCTCCCGCAGGGGTCATCACCAGTGGAGCTCGTTGGGCAGTTCTAGACTTTGGACTTAAATGTTGTTGCCCTCACTGCCCTGCCCATGCACTTTCTTCCCCAGTCTGTAGGCTGGGCTGACAGGATGCACCTGTGTTCTGGAATCACTTCCCTGTGCCTCCCAAAGACAAGCAGCCACTGCAGGTCCGGGTGGTTTGGAGATGCTACCCTGGCCCTGGCCAGCTCCTCCGGAGGGTCAGTGGTTCCACATAAAGCCCTAGGCCCGTGGAACCCACTATCAGAGCCAGGCCACCCCTTGCGTGGCCCACATGCTGGGGGTGGGGGGCGGTTACCCCATGCCTGTGTGCTGAGCTGCCCTGGTGTTTTGCTTTCTAGTTGTCTGTGGTGTCTTATGGTGGCTGTATTACGACTATACCCATGACCTCAGCATAGAATTGGACACAGAAAGGGAAAATATGAAGTGTTTGCTGGGGTTTGCTATTGTATCTACAGTAATCACGGTAAGAAACGCCCTTCCAGCAGGAGGTCAAGGAGCCTGCTAGGACTCTGAAATCCGAATAATTAGAGTTTAACCCAAAACAACTAGAATTTGTTGTTTTTTTTTTTACCTCAGAGTATGCATACATAATAGTAGGGTGAATGGACATACATGTTCAGTGTGTTCTCTTTTTGATTCACAGCACCTCCGTAGAATAAATCAAAGCCTTTAAAAAACAGGAAAAAAAGGCCTACCTTCTTCCCAAGTCATTTCTGCCATCACTCAGAGGTTGATTTGTTACTTGTGCTGATTCATTTTCCTTGAATACAGTACAACCATTTTTACCCTCAAGCGGCCATAAGGTGGACACTGTGGGGTCGGGGGAGGGGGCCGACTTACCACAGTTCCTGTTTCCTGTTTGCGAGGAGCCTCCCCCTCCAGCCAGTGGATGCTCCGGGTGTGACAGCTCCTACTGCCCTTGAACACAGAGAACCCTTTATTTCCAGACCTGCTGGCCACTGGATTATTTTGGTTCTCAGAGAACCTACCACCTGCCCCCGTCACCCCCCGCCAGAACCCCCCAGTTAAAAACTGGCAGAGTGTTGAGGCAGCAGATCCGGGTTGTTGCGGGAGGGAGGAGAGGGAGGTTGGCAGCCCAAAATCATTCGGGTCACTCCCCAGGGGGACATTAAAAGCACTAGAATCCCAAGGTCCCGGAGGGGGGCTGGAGTTGATTTTAGGCGATCATGGCCATTCCTGCCGGCGTGTTGCTTATTCACGGTCTGTGGATGCGCAGCGGCCAGGGTTCCCACAGGCCCTTTCGCTCTTCCAGCAAAGCAGACTCTCACCAGCCCACTTCTCTTCCCAGGAGAGCCTTCATTCCCATATTTGATAGTCTCCACATTTTCTCCTTTCTAGTGAGGTTTCAGGTTTGTGTTTTTCACATCGAAGGCATCTCAGGGAACAAGTGTATGATTAAGGAAAGTTCCCGATTTGTCCTGCCCCAGGCAGGGACCGGGCCCACAGCCACTCCAGGGCCTGTGAATGAGGCTGGAGGAAAAAGGACCCCCTCTGTACCCCAGGCTGACACTGGAGCTGTTGGGCAGTGGGGAGGGGGTGGGGGGCAGGGCTCCGAGCTGGGGGGAGAGCCAGCCTTCTTCCTGAGTCCTCCACAGGGCTTCCTTTGTCTCCACACACTGAACCTTTAATGGCACCAGACTCCAGAGTCAGGGGTGGCTTCTCCTCCTCACTGAGTGTAAAGTTAGCAAGAGGGAAGGCTGTGAAGGCAGAGAGGCTGTTGTCACCTTGTCTGTGAGGACTGTTCAGGTGCTGGGACAGAGGGTAGAAGCAAACAGCAGCTCACGCACCATTCACATGGCACATTGGTCACCACTCCTTACCCTGACACTCCCATGTAGTGAAGATCTCCCAGGGAGATCCTAGTCTGCTACCAGGACACCTGGGCGGATATGTTCCCATCTCCTGAGTCCATAGAAGCTACCTTACAAATCAACTTGAAGACATTGTTCTGGGGAGATGGGGGCTGCCTGTGAATATTATATAAATAGTTTCACCAAAAGGCCCAGCAGTGATGAGAAGAGAGGGTGAATGGCATTAAATGCACACCTCAGGGCATCAGCCTAGGAGTACAGGCTGAAGGGCAGCTCCCTGAGGCTTAGACCCCAGAAGAGTGAAGTCAAGACGTGGCCACCATGGTGAGTCAGTCCTGCCCCCCAGCCCAGCCTCGCCCACACCCCCCATTAGGTCCTGCTGATCCCCCTTGAGACTGGGGAGAGTGACGGATTAGAGACTCTGCACTTGTAATGAACATCCCTGCAGTGTACTCGGGAGTGTGAGAGGAATATTTTATGCATATATATAACTTGCAAAACACACATGCATTTAAATACACACATGTTAGCTTTCCACTTGGGAGCTAGAAGCCAAGTATATTTGCCTAGAGATCATATTATTTTGCTTCATGAAAATTTTAAGTAAGACCAAAAAAAAAAAAGTTGCTTTTTCTTATTGATAGTAGTAGGCATTGAAAATGCAGAGTTGGAAATTCCTACCTAGCCTTTACAGCTTTAGGGTATCCAGACCTCTTCCCTGGCTCCCCCTGACATGCTGCAGCTGGGTCAGGAGGCTCTGGTCCCAGCTCTGGGAGCAGATTGGGTCATCCCTCCTTCCCTTGACTCTCCTCTACTGGACTGTAAGATCCTGTGGGCCAGGAATGCTTCAGCCCAGCTGGGAGATAAAGGGTATTCTAAGCTAAAGGAATGGCACATGTGGGGTCACATGGACATGAGTGGGACCTGTGGGATGTTCCCCTGGCAGAAGCCTGAGAGCCCGTACAAAGAAGGACCATCCATGCCAGGAAGGTCCTGATCTGTGATGATAATGACTTTGATCTTTATTGAGGGATTTTGAGCTGGGAGATGACATCATTGATTCTATCCTTTACAAACATCACTTTAGCTTTGGGTTAGAGGAGGGAAAAGAACAGGAGTTGAGAGCCAAGGGGATTAAAAGCAGAGGCTCAAGGATGTTTTTGGGGTACAGATGATTGAGGATAATAAGACTTGAGCTGTGATCAACTGTGGGAATAGAGACAGATCTGGGAAGCCGAACACAGGCAACTGGGATTGTGCTGTGCACTGGGCACTGGGCCGTCCTTGACGTTAAAGGATGGCTCTGCTCTGAGGGAGCTTAATCTAATGGGAAATTCAGATGAGTAAACATTTGCAGTAGAAAATGCTGAGAGCTACAACTGGTAAGTTTGGGATGATATGGAAACGCACAGGAGAGGAAACTTATTCTTGGACAGTCCAGAAAAATCAGGGCCACTGGAATAGGGATTCTAGAAGAAAGAGGAGATTTTTATGTGAAGATAATGAATTTGGTTCAGGACGAGTTGAATTTGAGAGACTGTTGGATGTTCACAGCCTGGCCAGGAACTGACATGCTTACTCATCCAGCACCTAGAGAAGGGTGAGGCTGGAGGTTCTTTTTTTTTTTTTTTTCTTTTAATATTTTATTTATTTATTTGAGAGAGCACAAGCCTGAGTGAGGGGGCAAAGGGAGAAGGAGAAGCAGACTCCCTGCTGATCAGGGAGCCTGATGCTGGGCTCCATCCCAGGACCCTGAGCCAAAGGCAGATTCTTAACCAACTGAACCACCCAGGCACCCCGAGGCTAGAGGTTCTTATTTGAAATAAGGTTATCAGCCTCTAGGAAGGATGCTAAGACCACAAAGGAACAGGAGATAGCCCCCAAAGACTCTGAGAAACAACAGCGGAAGGAGTAGGAGAGCCAGAAGAAAGAGCATTCACAGAAGTCAAGGGAGGAGACAGTTTTAAGGAAAGAGGAGTGGACAGAGATCCGGGTGCCAGGCTCTAGGGAGGGTGTGAGGGTGGATGGCAGGTGGAGACTAGTCCGTGCGGAGCCTGCCTGTGAAGGGTGTGAGGAGGTGCAGGCGGCTGGGCTTGGGTGCGAGGGTGAATTTAACATATAACCTCCATGGAGGGGGGCCAGAGCCGATGGAAAAAGGCACAGAAGGTTGCTTTGAGGCACGATCACTGTCCTTTCCCCTCCTACTTGCATTCCTTGCCTTTTGCAGTCCTTGAGCATTCTCTGAGTCTCTCGGATATTGTGGTGAGGAGGAGAGGGTTAGAAGATGGTTCTCTGACCCTACAGGACCTTGTTTGCATTTTCTCTTGTTCTCTGCATGTTCCCTTAGGTGAGGGATTGTGTCTTGTTCACTGGTACAGCTGCAGGGTAAGCATAGCGACCAGCACATAGTAGATGCTCAATTAGGACTTGAAAATTTTTCTGGGGACGCCTGGGTGGCTCAGCGGTTGAGCATCAGCCTTCAGCTCTGGGTGTGATCCTGGGTTCACCGGATCAAGTCCTGCATCGGGCTCTCCACAAGGGAGCCTGCTTCTCCCTCTGCCTCTGTCCCTGCCTCTCTTTCTCTGTCTTTCATGAATAAATAAATAAAATATTTTTTAAAAATCAAAAAAATATATTTATCTGTTCCATTGTAATAAAAGTAGTGAGTAGCTATCTCAAAGAGCTGTTTGCTGAGATATCAGTGAAATATTAAGGTTTGCGTTAAGCTCTTCTTGGATGTTTATTATTTTGAGTAATTTAGTCTAACCTCTTTCTTACCAGGCAGTTGTGCTCAGCTTGATTTTTGTCTTCAGAAAGAGAATAAAATTGACAACTGAACTTTTCCAAGTCATAAATAAAACCATCAGCAGCTCTCCTTTCTTGCTGTTCCAACCACTGTGGACTTTTGCCATCCTCATCTTCTTCTGGGTCCTCTGGGTGGCTGTGCTGCTGAGCCTGGGAACTGCAGGTAAGCGCAGTGGGTCCTTCATCTCAGAGCTGTGCACTTTAGAGCCATTGGCCTGTTTACGTAGGGACCGGATCTCCTGTGCGGTGAGAGGCGTCTGATGACAGTGGGGATGGTGCCAGGGGCTCTGTCATGGGGGGAAGCAGGAAAATCCTTTCCCTCTTTTATACTGGCTTTAAAGAAACTGGGTTTGTTTCACAAGAGGAATAAATTCAGTAAGGACTGGAAGAGCTTTCGGAAAAACTACAATATGAACAAAAGCCTCTAAAAGGAAGGATTTAGATTTTATCTGAGGCAATTTGCCAACTCCTCTCAAATTAGGTGATCAAGAAGAATGTCCTATTAAAGTCTGTTAATAGGACTGCTCAGTAGAGCCGTGTAAGCTTGAAGCGAGTGCATATGGAGGTTCACATCGCCTAGGTCCTGAGAAGACAGTCCTGAGTCGCCCACCCTCCTGTTGTCTCTCTTCAGTGGTTTTCTACCAGAGGATTCCTCAGAGTCAGCTAAGGGGCTTTATTATTAAAATACACTGGCCTGGGCCCCATCCTCAGAGATCTTTTTTTAAAAAAATATTGTATTTATTTATTTGAGAAAGAGAGCATGAGTGGGGGGGTGGCCGAGGGAGAGGGAGAAGCAGGCTTCCTGCTTAGCGGGGAGCCCAATGCCGGACTTTAGCCCAGGACCCCAAGATCATGACTTGAACCGAAGGTAGACACTTCACCAGCTGAGCCACCCAGGTGCCTCCATCCTCAGAGATCTTGATTCACTTGGCTTGAGGTGGGGCAAACTATATTTTGTTGAGGCCCCATAACAGGGCAAAGAAGTGGTATTTAAAGTACTGTCTGAAATGAGATAATGAGCTTCTGTCAGGATATATATTACTCCTTTATTGAGGAATCTTGCAATGGGGGGGAAATGTCAGAATGAAGTAGTGGGCTTCGTCAAGCAGCTGGTCTGTGTGCTGGCGCAAGCTCCTCATCTCACTGCGGGCTAGGAACAAGCAGAGTGAGGACAGGCAGCCAGGCTGTGGACACACCTTGAGTGGCCCCGTTCTCTGTCTGCTCTAACTCCTCTGGCTGATTTGGTTAAGAACCACATTCACACTCGGATGGGAGTACCAAAGAGTAAGTTGCCTTCCGAACCTGTCACCAGATGGATAAGAACCACGGCGGATGTCAAATCAGCAAAGCTACTGTAATTCCTTACTCTTTCATCAAGTTTATTTTGTCCCCTATTGGCTCTGGTCAAAAATGTAAGAACAACTGCTGTGTAGTAGATTCTTAGTAAACTGGGGTCTCTTCCCTCTCCTCTGGAGAAAACTGATCCATCGGAGCTTGCTCAAGATCGTCAGGAGGCCCCCTGGAAGGTACAGCCCATACTCCCAGCTCGGAAGACACTGCCAGAGCACTCTTTTCTTTTGTTCTCTGGAAGCTTTCTGAAGATCTGCAGGGAACTCAGACTAATCATCCAGGAAGAAGCCTTGGTTGAGCAGACGGGACTGTAATCAATCAGGATGAGGTTTGTCTGGGAGTAACAGAAGGCTCAAACAATCAGTGGCTTAAATAAGATACTAGGTAATTTCTCTCTTACGTAAAGGAAGTCTACAAGGAAGAGCCCCATGCCAACGTGGTCCTCTAGAGATGGAGGCCGTAGGTGCTTGCGTTCTGCTTCAGCTCAGCGCCTTGTGCTGACATCCTGTACCACTTGCTTCCACCCGGTGACTGAAATGGACACTCAGGCTCCAGCCATTAGGAAGGTGGTGGGGACAAAGGTGAGCCGCCCTTCCCTCTCTCACGCCTTCTAGAAGCCGTGACAGCACTGACACTTCCACCCCACTGGCCAGATCCTAGTTACACAGCAGCACCTTCCTGCGGGGGAGGAAAGGAGATGCAGTTGCATCGGGGGCAGCCACGCACAGTTAAAAAAAAAATTAGAGGTTCAATTGCCGAGAAAAGGCGAAGAACAGATATTAGGGGACAATTAGAAGTCTCAGCTAGGGTAACACTGAACGGTTCTATTTTGCTCCTTTGAAGGAGTCTCGGTCCCGCTCAGGAAGGAGGGCAGTGGCCTCGGTACATGCAGGCAAGCAAGCATTTGTTGGACAGGGTCCAAACTCCAGGCTCGGCGTTAGGAGCTTTCTTAGGTTGTCTGCTTTCAGCATTGCAGTCCCCTTTTGTCATATATGTTGTTATGCTCAAGTTCTGGGCAAGAGAATTGAGGTTCTGAGTACTCGGTTCGTGGAAGGTCACCCAGCTAGGAAGTGCGAGGCTCTCTGGCTCCAGAGCCCTAGGCTGGGACCCGTGCACCCTCCACCATCTCACGTTTCCCGTGTCTGGGATAAAAGGTGGGCCTCCTCAGTTTTGTGTCAAGTCAGAGCAGTGCTGCGGCCACAGCAGGGGCTGGTGGATGTGGCCTGTGCCCATAACGTTGTTTGGGGTCTGTGGTTACAGGACAGCATGGCAGGGCCAGAGGTCGAAGCCAGGGTGGGCTGGGAGTGACGGGTAGCAGCGGGCGGCAGGGCATGACACCCGGGGTAGTGGACTGTGGTATCTGAACCCTGGCCCTAAAGAATCACCAGAGAAAGGGTGAGGTCATGGAAATATGACTCAGGACCAGGGAAGAACCTTCCTTCCTCCTCCAGCCTCTGGGGCACGGCTGCCCTCTCCCCCACACCGTCCCCTGGGCTGTGAGTCTGGCTGAAGGAGATCGTCCCTGTGGTTAACCCATAATACTCTGGAGCAGGGCACGTTCATTTGTTCTTGCCTTTTAATTCACAAGTGTTAGGGGAGCAGGTGGAGCCGAGGGCCTGGGCCGGGCGCTGGGGAGGAGGGGTGGTCTCCTCACAGCACTGAGAGTCGAGCAGGACGGACAGTTAAACGTGCTCATGGTGCAGGTTGATGACTGTCACCATAGGAGGGATTTGGGGAGCTCCGAGAGCACCGGACCCAGGCTCGACCCCACAGGGTGAGTCAGGAAAGGCTTCTCACAGGATGGGCTAGAAATTGCCAGATCAGAAAATACAGAAGGAAGCCAAAGGGGATTCCATAGGGGTCACAAGCAAACACCAGGAGACGGCCTGGCCACAGAGGACAGGAGAGAGCCAGTGCTGGAGTGAGGGGTGCAGTCGGAGAGGACCAGGTCCCAGGGCCACCTCACAGGTGGGCTGCCAGCGTGCTGTCCCTTCAGTTCCCCGTCAGCCCAGGTTGGGCTCAGGGCTGAGGGGCAGGAAACAGCGTCTGCCCCAGTGCTGTGAGCAGGAGAGGCAGGGAGCCAGGTAAGGGACTCCGCGGGGCCGAAGGTCACCCCGGAGGTCACGTACTCCAGTGTGGCCATCCTTGTCAGTGGACGGAGGGAACCAGCAAGAGGGTGAGGAGCAGAGGGGCAGGAGACAAAACCAAAGCCAGGTGCCTGGGACCCAAGGGAGGCCCGCTACTAGCTGCCCTTCCGCTTTCCAGGAGAGCAGGTGTCCCACCGAGCCACGGTGTCCCTCCTCCCCGGGCTCAGGCATCCTGAGAGCCAGACTGGCTGTCCCCTCTGGCCACCTGCCTCTCCTTGCCATTCTCCTGTGGGCCGCGCCAGGCGCACAGAACTCCTTTGTTCTCAAAGGCCTTTTCACTCAGTGCCAGAGCCACCACTCAGGGGCTGGGCAGGTCACTTCGTTGCTTCATGTCATTTTGACCGTCGAGAGACGCCCCAGCTGCGCTTACGGGAGGCTAGGAGCTGCCGTGGGAGCTTGTGCAAAGAAGCCAGGTGACGGGGTCAGAGAGGCCAGCACAGCACCTGGTCGTCTCACTCCACGTCCCCTCCGGCAGCTATAAAACCCTCCAGTTGTCCAGTCCGTGCCCCCTGGGCCAGGAAGGCGGGGCAGGGGGTCCTCAGCGGGTAGTAGTTAGGAGCTTTTTATCATGTCAGGTGGTTGAATGAACTAACATTTTAATGTGTAAAAAAAGAAAAAGAGATACAGAAAAAGTGAACTTGGGTTGTTTTTGCCCAGATGAGTTGCTTCTCTAGTGACTATAAACCAGTATCTGAGCTAGTTGACAAGTTCTGGCTTGTTTGGGGATTGTTTCAGCAGACCATATCCAGGCCCTCCAGCAAGGACATTTATTAGCCTCTGAGGAACTGTCTGCTACCAGCACGTGACAATGACTAAAAAAATCCAATGAGGGCAAAGTGAACCCTGTAATGACCTTGGGATCCCAGCAGGTACAGGTGGCAGGGTAGAAGGAGCCCATGTGGCCTCATTAGGCCCAGTTGTCGATAAGGTTGACCCCAGAAGCCCCAGAGTCAGCAGTGGCTGAAGCTCATCTTAGGGTGGCACTTCCCCTCCCCAGGTGCTGCGGTTAGAAAGGTAATCACAGGGATGTGTTCAGGTGCTTGGGACAGGCAAAGGGCCACGCTTGGGAAGGAGACAGTAAGGACGGGCAGGTTTCCCATCAAGGGACCCAGCATCCAGGCTGGCTCTGGCCTTCCTTGTATGATAATATTCTGTGCTTCCCTTTTCCCATTTTTCACAATGGAAAAGTGATGCTTTCCCTGGCTGCTGCACAGGGATGTGAGGAGGATGAAATGAGGCCAGAGCTTTGCTTTGCAAATGAGGGACCTTGTCTGTCCCTTATGTTGGGAATTCCCATTGACTAAGGAGTATCTGGTACTAGCTTCAGCTTTAGTCTCTGCTCTGCCTGGCATATTTGAGAACACAGTCTAAAAGAAAATTGTCTTCTTTTTTAAATTCTGAGAATTTGAGAAGATAAAGCCTCCTAGCAGCCCAGACCTGTCCTAGGGACGGGCAGAGGGAGCTTGCACAAAAGAGATCTGAGACACCTCCTGCTTTGTTGAAGTTTATGGTCGCCTTTGAGAAAGTGCAAAGGAAAACCATCTCCATGGACATCTTTGTGCCTTCGCACCTGCTGTGACCTTCATCTGGAAACACCTCCTCTTCACGAACTGCATCCTAGCTCTCTACCCCAAACTGCCTGGGGAGCTAGTCATTCTCGACTACT